GATGATGATGATGATGATGATGATATGATGATGATGATGATAATAATATTAATAATAATAATAATAATATAATAATAATAATGATAATAATGATTATTGTTAATAAATGATAATAGTAAAGATACCATTAAAATTAATTAATAATATTAACAAAATACTGTTACCAAAATAATGACAATAGTAATAATACAACAACAATAATAAATATGATAATAATAATCATAAAACAAAAATGATAATAATGATAACAATAATGACAATGATAACAAAAATAATGACAATGATAACAAAATAATGATAATGATAATAATTATAGCAATAATGAAAATCAAAATAACAATAAGAAATATAATAATGATAATCATAACAATAGTAATTATGGTAAGGCACACATACGCTACTTATGTATATCTTCAATTATATATGCACATACACACTGATAATTTGATTGTGTGATCCTACACAAATATTCAGAAATTGATACAGGAATTAAACACACACATACATACATTTTACTAGTTGTGCTATGGAAACTAATGATACTATAATAATATATTCTAATTGCATCATCTTCAAGGTTACCTCTTACCATGAAAATGAGAAAATTAATAGCCAAAGAATACTAAGAGAAAGTAATCTTGGCAAAAGAAATCAAATCTAAGAATGCAAAATTTACTTACACTCTTCAAATAACATGTAAAAAGTAAAAGAAAATACATTTAAATGAATGAGTGCAAGCATTTCCTTCCAGTTTGACATATTTGGACAAGGAGCAGTGAGAGTGGAAGCCTTCAGTACCACTGTAAATTTACCTTCAGAAGGTTGTCAGGTGAAGACATATACAGGGAAAGGGTTAGTAAAAGCCAACTGAATTATTCTATTGAAATATTTCTTATCACATAAAAGTATATGGATTAAAAACAGATTTAAGAAAGTCAGAAAATCATTACACCACTGTATTCATTACATAAATAATTACAAATATATTATTATGAATTTAAAAATCATGTATAAAATCTATTAGCACTGCTCACTGAAAAAAATCCAATTCCTGCATCCAGGCACTATAAAACTTCTACACCTGGTGACTCTCCATACATGACATAGTACCATTAATATCAAAACAGCATAGGAAACTGCTAAAATGCACTGCTCAAATATACAGCATAGTGATTTCATTTATATGGCCTGACTTAAAGTCTCAACCCAATGATCTTCCACTTCCTCCTCTTCCTGCTGATAGCATCCACGCTTTAGCCTTACAAGGTCACCCCATAGCAATATAGACCCACAGCTTGGACATGGCCCTTCTAGAGAAGCAAAGTCCCTGGTGGTTCTCTTTGTAGCATATGTTTTGCAAGGCATCTGACATGAGCATTTAACTGACACGAGGTAGATAAACATCTGTGGAAAAAAGTTCCAATAATTTTGTTTGGTTTTTGGTTTTCACTTTCACACAAATTTGCATTTTTCATAAATTCCTTCATATATTCCTTATTGCACTTATGCATTTTAAACCTTATATCATATAACACAATTAGATAAATACCTCATTCTTTCTGTTTGTGTTACTGCATCATCACAGCAAGCATGTCACCTCCACAACTTCAATTTCTTGCTCCTCTTCATTCTTTCTAACCTTTGCAGGTTTTACTGGACCATAAGCAATTGGCATGTGATTAGGGGCCTCCATCCCTGCCTAGAAGAAAAGAATATAAATCAAAATAAATGAAATTATTACAAGAAATATTAATAATAAGTATTACCCATCTTCCTGTAGATCTAAATACTAACCCCTTCTCTCTATTGAAATGTACTCCTTAGTCACTGATTGATACCCCACACACAAAGTTATAAACTATTGATGAGTATTTTCCTGGGGGTATAATTTAAGAAGGATGTATCTTTAGAACAAGGTTTATGCTTCGAGTTCATATTATTACGAAGACATTTCTGAATCATCTGTAGTTAATACAAAATGGAAAAGTAGCTGGTAGAGCTGGGTGAGGTATTAATGAGGTTTTGAGCAGGAGACTACTCACAGGAAATTCTTTGAAGTACTGTTGTTTCAGCCATCTAAGTGTAAGAGGAAGACGAGACCAAGGTTTTTTGTAACATAGTTGCCAGAATCCGCAGACAATATTCATACTTTGTTTCTTTTGCTTTTTTACGGCCCATACCTCTTAACCGACGACTTCTTTCTGGATGCTGCCAGGCCCATTCAAACTGGAAAATAAAAAAAATAGACTATCTAAAGCAATATACTACTCCTGCTAAAAGCAAATTATGAATATTATGAGTTCCTTAATTATACACTTTTAAATCAACATTCATCAATGTAAAGTATTCCAAAATCAATAGTTTATTACAAATAATTACAATTTTCCTTGAGTTCTTCCTGTTTTAACTAAAACATATGAGCAGTGAGAGGTAGCTTAAAATGAATGAGAATTATGTGAAAAATCTAAAACATTTCACTTGCCATGTCATGTTTAATTTATAGATTATTATATATAAAATTTCCATGTGAAGACAAATATTCACTTACTCTGAGGGCAGATATGTCATTTGGAAATCCATGAACAATAAGAACCATTTCCCTGAAAGACAAAAACAATAAATGAATAAATAAAATAAAATAAAATTATATATACAAAATATCACATTTTTCTAATGAGCTCACTAAGTAACAGAATGTAAATTTTGAAGCTCAAAATATGAAAAAGTGAAATAAAGTATTTCCAGATGAACTCACCATGGCCCTCTGTTACTGGTTTTATATGCACCCTCCTGCCCTAACACCTCGGTTGTGCTGCTTGATACGACGATTGGGGTCAACTGTAAAGCCAATATATGTGCGTCCTTTGTACTGTGGATTTATGCAGTACAACAAGTAAACTCCATAAAAATCTTCAACAACTTCACCATCAGCCATCCTGAAACAATGTCCTAGGTTATAAAAGACCTATATTTTTGAGTGCAGCAAGGTTTTTTCATTTGCTAAGCTGGCTTGTTGCAAGTTGCTGTATATAAAATAAGTGTACTGCAATGTGAACAAGAAAGCTGTCTTCTTGCCTATCCTTGCCTTATTTCTTAAACAAGTTTCTCTGAATAACATAAAAAACATGCAAATTTTGGTTTGCCATTCAGGTAGTTATTCAGAAAAGTTTGCACTGTCAGTATTAAAGATATTAATAATGCTGGATTGTTTGTGATCCATACTATTTAGAAAATGTGCATTCAGTCCCTAAATGCAATCTATAATGGTGATATTAGCATTAACCCATTGGATCTTGATGCTTTGCAACCCTCACAAGGACCAAAAGCCGAGCTTTAGGCTTTCTTGAATGGTGACTCCCGGATGTGGCTTGTGACTCAGCCCACACAAATACTTGTGTGCAGTATCAAGACTTCTTGCCTTCCCTTTACAATGTTATTATCTCTTTTATTCATTATGCTTTATCAAGATGGTATTAGGATGTTTTCGTTAAACAGATTCCATATCATCTTTCTAAGTAGTCTAAACCTCTGTGCAATGACAATAAGTAACATTATGTTATTTGTCATTTCTTTTACTTTTGTATTGTTCGATTTCTGTAACACCCTGCACCATCTGGCATGGATTCTGAACACAGAAGTAATGTCCTTCCTGTAGCCATGGCACTTCCTGCCATGGCTCACAAATGGTACCTTCCATTCTCATTTACCAGTGGAAATGATACAAGAGTCCCTTCCGAAATGACCACTAACAAAATCTTCCTCTAAGAGCTTTATGCAATCATGCATTTTTAATATAGGCACATTTCCATTACCCCTGCCCTTTGCCAAAACTTTCCATGAAGACATTTCCTTCAGCTATCCATTGGCCAAATTTTTTGATGACATGATGGTTACGTCATCTGGTTACGTCATATGGATGCACAACTTCAATAATTGATGCTGCCTCCATAAAGACTGCTAAACCTTCACTACATATTCCTTGGTAAGCCTTACAAGTTTCTCCTTGCCAAAATATCAGTCTAAATTCTTGAGCTGCATCAAACATTTTGCACTTGAAGGTCTCCCACAGATATACAGGGTCCATCAGATTGTTGAGCGCTGTGAAACAACCAGAAATTGCCTCAGCAAACCCCCGGGCACACCCCCTCCCTTAGCCTGTCCAAATGAAGCACCCTTGGGTAGCCATTGGACCTCTGAGGAGTTTTGACGAAGACCTGAAGGGTAGCCACATCTAATCTACGGTCAGTGCCTCAAAACTCAGCACTCCTATACACCCTGCAGTTCTGGAGGATTCTCCAACAACTGCTAATGAGGGTGTGGTCAATCTCCTTGGCTGCATTACCTGCATCAATGCCAGACTGTAGAGTATTTTTCTTGCGCCAGGAATATTATGTTTTTCATGTGTGGAAAACATCATTCTGTCTACATTTGCGTGGATGGATCTGCAGATGGATGATGAAACAAATGCGCGGAAAGGTCAAAAGAAGTTTATGTGCAGAAGATGATTTTAAAAAGAACTAAGCGTGCACAGAAATTTACCAAAGAACTACATTTTCACTGACAGAATTTGACCAAATAATTTTTGCCCAGGAATACGTTCCCCAGGCAGACCAAACTCTACAGTCTGGCATCAATTTACCGTGTCCAACAGTGTGGGTCAGAGCGCTGATACCAGGAGCTAGACGTCCTCAATTTCTGGAACCTACCAAAGTCCTGGAAAAGGAGGTTATTCTTGCTGCTGGCATCAGCTCCCAGACCATGAGGACCTACAGACATCTCATACCCAGGTCAATTACAGCCAATAATGCACCGAAGTCACCCAGAAACAATACAAATATCTCACCGAGGACAACTGTCCATCACAGAGGCAAGGTTGGAGTAAAACTTCTCTTTCACATCGATTTTCAAACATCAGTAGGAACCTAGGCCTATACTGCAATAAGAGACATGAAGCTAAAAGCTAGCTTCAGTCTTAATACCATTATACGCTCATCGACCGGAGTAACCTCTACTGAGTGCTGGAGTCTGCTGGAGATGGCTATGGATACTCCCTGAAGATGGTGACCATCACTGCAGCCCAACCAGTAATAGGTATAGCCACCCAGGCTGTAGAGTTTGGTCTGCGTGGCGAACGTGTTCCCCGTGCAAAAATTATCAAAAAATGTAATATTCCCACGCAAGAAAATACTCTACAATCTGGTAGCCCCCTACACTAATCACAGTCACTGCCTGTCTTTTCACCTCCAAGAGAGCAGTTCAGTTCTCTCAACAATTGTGGTAACTGATCATCATCCTAATGTACAGAGCAAACATCCCAGGCCCATCTTTACATCCCACTTGAGGTTTAGCTTCAGGACATCACCTCTGCAATCCCTGCTGACGCTCCCCTATATAGTGGGGGGTGGCAGGCTACAGGACTCAACATCCACCTGTAGGGTTCCCTTGAGCTTTGCCACACGGGCTTCAAAATGGGTTGATGACTGCCAGAATGCAGGCCGGACTGGAAAGCTCCTGTTCCCACTATGTATGAAACCACTATAAATGAACAGAATGTATTAAAAAACAAGCAAAGAATTACAAGTGAATATAAAAATAAAAACAATGTCAAACATAACCCCTATCCCACCTTGGTTTGATATTACAAAAATATAGATACAAAATTCTTAGAAGAGCAAACAAACAATATCCCAGAACAAATAATAAGATTACAGTATATAATGTTAGAAAACACATGATATCTAAATTATAAAAAATTATTCACAGATGGCTCGAAAATAAACAGCAATACTTCCACATCAGCAGCTATATACATACAAGATAACAATAAAACAACAATATGGAAATTACCAACAAAACAGAAATAATAGAAGCAGAACTCTTCGCAATAAAACAAGGGTTAAAATACATACAAAACAACAAATTACCAAATTCGATACTATTTACAGACTCTAAATCAGCACTACAGCTAATATTAAACTTGAGACCAAAAATTTTAAGTATAAATTTTTTAAATACAAGAAGTGATATATACAGTGGTAAATCAAAAACAAATAATAATCCTACAGTGAATACCTTCACATAACACATAAAAGGCAATGAAATAGTTGATCAAGCAGCTAAAAAAGCACACAAAATAAGAAACTCCACAACCATACATGAAGACGCAAAAAAAGATAAAAAAAAAAAAAAAAAAAAAATCAAAGCAACTGGAAAACACAGCTAAACACAATTCTTAACACAAAGAATTATCTCTTGAAAACACAGAACCACAGCCATGGTCAAGATCCAATAACAGAAAACTAGATGTCTACATAACCAGAATAAAAAACACACACACAAGACTAAATCAACACCTACATAGAATGAAAATAATAAATGATCCACTCTGCAGATGGTGTCAAAACCAAGAAGAAGATATATAACACTTAATGCTACACTGTCCACATTTCACGTCAGCAGAACGAAATTGAAAGAAGCCTCAAGAAAAATCAAAGTAATCAACCCTACCATAAACATTATTCACAAGTGCAGATCTCTCCCCGACAGAAAAGTACTACACTCTTAGACATACCAAAATCTTCCTAAGAAAAAACAAACTAAAAGAGATCATATAAAAGAAAGAATAGAAAAGAAAAAGGATCCAGGGGATATAGACTACTCAAAAGTCTAAAACCCTATAAAAGAAGAAAGAAGAAGAATGTATTCGCCATTTCATGATACCACAACTGATACTATTGATATAATTATCCCTTTGTGTCAAAAGTCCCATGTTACCTTGTTATGAATTAGGTTTGAACAAGGTGAAATAATAGTACGTTTTCTTACATAAGCTCCTCTTCTTTTTCTTCTTTCTTGTTATAGGGTTTTAACTGATTCCATAAACTCTTCTTCTTCTTTACTGTTTTATAGGGTTTTAGACTTTCGTCTATATCCCCTGGATCTTTCTTTTATATTCTACTTCTTCTATAGGTTTAGACTTTTGCATAGTCTATATCCCCTGGATCTTTTTCTTTTCTATTCTTTCTTTTATATGATCTCTGTTAGTTTGGTTTTTCTTAAAAAGATTTTGGTGTGTCTAAGAGTATAAAACTTTTCTGTTGGGGAGAGATCTGCACCTGTGAATAATAAGTTTATGTTAGGGTTGATTACTTTGATTTTTCTTAAGGCTTCTTTCAATTTTGTTCTGCTGGAGTGGAATCTTGGACAGTGTAGGATTAAGTGTTCTATATCTTCTTCTTGATTATGACACCATCTACAGTAAGGGTCATTTGTTATTTTCATTCTATGTAGGTGTTTATTTAGTCTTGTGTGCTTAGTTATTATTCTAGTTATGCAGACATCTAATTTTCTATTTTTGGATCTTAACCATGGCTGCGGTTCTGTGTTCTGCAATAGATAATTCTTTGTGTTAAGAATTGTATTTAACTGAGTTTTCCAGTTTCTCTGGTTTTTTTTTTTCATCTGTTTTATCTGTTTTTTTGTGTCTTCATGTATGGTTATGGGATATCTTATTTTGTGTGCTTTTTTAGCTGCTTGATCTACTATTTCATTTCCCTTTATGTTTTTATGTGAAGGTATCCACTGTAACATTATTATTTGATTTTGATTTACCATTGTATATATCAATTCTTGTATTTCAAAAGTCATACTTTTAGAATTCTTAGGTTTCGGGTTAGATATTAGTTGAAGTGCAGATTTAGAATCTGTAAATAGTACTGATTTTGATAATTTGTTATTTTGTATGTATTTTAGCCCTTGTTTTATTGCAAAGAGTTCTGCTTCTATTATTTCTGTATTGTTTGGTAGTTTCCATATTGTTGTTATATTGTTATCTTGTATGTATATTGCTGCTGATGTGGAATCGTTGTTTATTTTCGAGCCATCTGTGAATAATTTTTTATAATTTCGATATCGTGTGTTTTCTAACATTATATATTGTGCTCTTATTATTTGTTCTGGGATATTTTTTGTTTGCTCATCTAAGAATTTTGTTTCTATATTTTTTGTAATATCAAACCAAGGTGGAATAGGGGTTATGTTTGACATTGTTTTTATCTTTATTTTCACTTGCAATTCTTTGTTTGTTTCTATTATTCTATGGATTAAGTTATTTTTATCCTTTTGAGGGTTATATTCTTTTATATTTTCTGTTAACATTTTTTTTATTTGTGTATTTTCTTTTTTTTCTAGTATTTTTAACATTTGGGTGAATTCTTTTTCTTTTAGTTTATTTTTGATCGACATTTTATTTGTTAGGGCATAGAGTGCATTTATTGGAGTGGTCTTTAAACATCCAGTGGCTATTCTCAAAGCTCCATTTTGAACTGTTTCAATTTTTTTTATTTCTGTGTCATTTGCTGTTCCATAAATTGTTATACCATATTCTATTTTTGGTTTTATGTAGATATCATAGAATTTTATCATTGTCTCTCTGTTTGCTCCCCATGTTGTTGTTGATAATTTTTTCATTATGTTTATTCTATTTGTACATCTAATTTTCAAGTTATTAATATGGTTTTTCCACTTTAGTTTTGGTGCGTCGAATTCGAGTCCTAGGATTGTATGTTTATTTGTGAATTTTAGTTCTTCATTATTTATTTTTATTATTGGTATTTGTCTTATTCTTTTTTTTGTAAAGCACATTACTTTGCTTTTAGTTAAATTTAATTTAAGCTCCCAGTCGTTAGCCCATTTTACTATTTTATTTAATCCTACTTCTAGATTGATTTTTGCTTCTTCTAGATTTTCATTTATTGTTATTATATTTATGTCATCTGCATATATTATTTTGTTGGTTTTTACTGTTAGATTTAGATCTGACATCATTATGTTGAATAGTAATGGACTTAATGGAGATCCTTGTGGAAGTCCTTTACTTATTCCTCCTTCCTCGGATTTTTGGTTTCCTATTATTATTTGGTAGGATCTATTATTTAAAAAATTAGATATCCATCTGAGAGGAGTACCCGTTATACCTAGTTTAGCTGCTTTTATTATTATTGCATCATGGTTTACTTTGTCAAAAGCTTTTTCTAAATCTAGAGATGCTATTAGGGCATATTTTTTCTCTTTATAAGCTTTTTTAATATGAAAATCGATTATTTGTAATGTATCTATTGTTGAGCTATTGGGTCTGAAACCTGTTATGTCTTGACTTAGTTTGTTATTTTTTTCAAGCCACCATATTAGTCTATTGTTGATTATGCTTTCCAGCATTTTCCCTATACATGAGATTCTGCTTATGAATCTATATGATTTTTTATTTGCTGGATCTTTATCCGGTTTTAATATCGGATTTACAAGTGATTTCTTGAATTCTATAGGATATTCTCCTTTTATCCACAACTGATTATAGATGTTTAAAATTTTTTCCAGTAGGTTATTTGGGATATTTTTATAAAATTCATAAGGGATACTGTCTGGGCCACAAGCTTTATTATTTTTTGTCTTTTTTTACAGAAATTAATTCTTTTAATGTTATCTCCTTTTTTAATCCGTTCGTACTTGGCAATTCTATTAAACTTTTAAATTCTGATTTTGTTATTAAGCATTTTGTTTTTGTGTTTATTATACTTTGGAATTCTTCTTTTAAGAGTTTTAATTTCTTTTTTGTTTCTTGTATTGGCTGATCATTATCTATTAGCGGGTAATTATTTATTCTATTACTGCCTGAAAGTTTCTTAATAAAATTCCATATTTTTTTGGTTGGGGTTCTAAAATCTAATGAGTGGCCAGAAATTTGACCAACTTGTTCTTTTTTCCTTTTCTATTGTATCTCTTGCTATTATTTGAAGTTTTTGTATTCTATTCTGTTTTTTTCATTAGGATTTTTTCTCCATTTATTGAATGATTTGTTTCTTTGTTTTATTACTTCTTTACATTTTTTATTCCACCATGGTTTTGTTGGTTTATTTTTACTATTATCATTATTTAATCTGAAATGTTTCATCCCTATGTTTTTATTATTTCTGTTATTTCGTTCAGTGATTTTATATGTCCACATCTATTTTTGTATTTCTTCTTTTAAATTTTATCCATCCTTCTTCATTGAATTTCCATTTTTCCTCTTTAACTATTGTTTCTCTATTGTGATTAATGTCTCTTATTATGATTGGAAGGTGATCGCTTCCTCCATATATTTTTTGCTTCTACTTCTAATTTACTCAGGTCTCTGGGTGCCCAGAACTAGGTCTATTGTAGACCCTTTACCTGTTTTCGGATCTATTCTAGTAATTTGTCCTTTTGGAGTTAACATCAGTATGTTATTTTGAATTTATTAAATTAAACAAGTTTATTCCAGTGATATTTGTTATATTTTGGTTTGTTTTTGAATTCCATAGCGGATGATGGCATTAAAATCTCCTATTATGAGTTTTGGTTTTTCTATTTGGTTTATGTAGTGTTCCATATCTTTTTGATTTACTTTGTTACATGGGTTGTATATTAAAAGTAAGTGTAGCCATCCTCTTTTATAGCTAATCTTTATAGCTAATGTTTCGATGTTTTTATTTTGTGTAATTCATTTAGATTAATCTTCTTGTATTGTATATCATTTTTATACAAATTGCTAAGCCGCCTCCCCTTTGTTCTATTCTATCATTTCTTATGATATTCATAATCTTTTATATCAAATTTGTCATTATTTGTAAGCCAAGTTTCGCAAATTGCGAATATCTCCGGGTTTTTCTGTTTGAATTAGATATTCTATATCTATTTTTTTGTTTATTACAGATCTAGCGTTCCATAGTATTGTTTTTAGTCATTAAACCAAACTGATATTTGTTTTATATTGGAGCAACTTCAGTTATTATCTCTGTTATTATTTTCAATTATTGTTTTGTCTGATTTGAATTTTTCGGTTATATTAGTTATTAATTTGAAAATTCCTTTTGTTATTTCAACAATGAAGGTTTTTCTTCTTTGTTTTTTTGTTCTTCTTCTTCTTCTTTCTTCTTCTTCTTTTATTGTTGGGGTTTGTTTAGTGGTGTTGGTAGAGACCATGTTATGGGGGATTCTGTGAGTTTCTTGTCTTTTATGTTTTGTTCCTTTGTGTGTGTTTGTTCTTTTGTTTTTTCTTGACTGTTTTTTTGTTTTGATTTTGTTGATTGAGTTGGAGTATTTTCTGCTCTGTTTGTGTTATTTTTTTGTTTTGTGGGTGTTTTTTGTGCTGGTGTTATGTTATTGTTTGTGTTAGTATTTAGCATATGTTTGTGTTATTTTGGGTTTGTTTGTTGTATAGTGTTTGTGTTATCATCTGTTTGTTGTTTGTAATCTGTTCTGAGTTGTGTATTTCTGCTGTGGTAATTATTATGTTTTTTTGTATTGGTTGTTCTGTTTTTGTGTTGTTGGGTTTAAGTGATGGAAAGTTTTTTACTTCTAAGTTATTTGGTGTTGTGTTTTTTTTTGTTTATTTCTTGGGCTTTTTGATGAATTGGGCAAGTTTTATCGTATGCTGTGTGGTTACCTTTACAGAAAAAGCAATGAGGTGGATTTTTGCAATCTTTATATTTGTGATCTTGTTGGCTGCATTTACTACATCTTATTTTGTTTTTGCATGATATCAACCATGGCCATACATTAGACACTTAAAACATTTGGATATTGGGAATGTGTATTGATATACCTTATAACTTATATGACCTATTGTTAATTTTGTTAGGTAATGGACCTCTGAATGTTATTTTCAGGGATTTAGTAGGAATCCATTTATTTTCTCCTGATATTTTACTTGGTTTATGAATCCTTGTTATATCTTTTATGTATGTATCTGGCCTCCATAGTATCTTGGTTTTTTCTTGATTTCTTCTATTTCTATATCTGTTTTCTACTGGGGATATTGTTCCATAGGAGCATCCTTGATCTTTATTTGATGCAGGTTGCTTACAGTTTATTTCCAGTTGCCTAGGTATTTAATTTCATTGAGAGGTCCAATTTTTGATATATCTACTACCTCGAATCTAATGGCTTTTCCATCTCCTATTACTCTTAATGAATTTTCAATTATGTATTTTTGAAAAATTGATTTATTTATGGCCTCAGTTAACCTTATTGGATGGTTGAAGTTTGAGGTATTTGATGTTTGTTATTTGTATTAGAATAACATTTTCTTGAGGGTACCTTGAGATACTGTTCCGTAGGTATGGTTCTCCGTGGTCTGTTTGCCGGTTCTTCGTTTCTTGCTTGTTTGGTGTATGGGCAATCTTCGCTATCACTGTCTCGTCTTCTGCTGTTTTTCTGGTGTTCGTATATCATTTCATTGTCTTTTCCAGGTTCTTCACCTGGATCAGATCAAAGTTTCCGTTCATAAGCTTTCACTTCACTGAGTTCGGTACTTTTTAAAGATTGATCACTCTTACACGTTGATGTTCACTCTTCAAAGTCTCGACCGGTTCTCCTTTGAGAGTTTTGACTTCTGTTTGCTTCTGAAAACTTCAAACCCGAGCCCCAGGAACGGTTCCGAACGGTTTGTTATTGTTGTCGTTCTTGTAAATTGCGTTCGGTGAATCCAGGGAGTCCCTTTCGGTTTCCGAGTTTTCGCTTTCTTTTCTATTTTGTATTGGATTTCAGGCCATAGAACTAAGAAGAAATGTAAACTCTTAAAAGATAGAATTATATATTAGTTAGTGAATTTGGGTATTCTTGAAAAATAATCTTGCAATCGGAGCAGTTCGCATAAAGGAAAGTGCCATTTAAAAGAATTGGTTTAAAGTTCATTTTGAATTACAGGCTGTCATGCAACATAAAACCAAATAATAAAATTGCAGGGCTGCTCTAATGTGTCACTCAAGAACACACTACCATCAAAACTATACAGTATAATCAAATTTAGGAGTAGGTTAGAATTAGAACAAAGTAATAACACCAAGCCAATACTAAAGCAGAATACGAAATTAAGCCAAAAAAGATTAAGATATTACTTTAAATTGTAAAAGACAAAGTCTCATAAGGTCTTTTTCCGGTGCCAAGAGGTGTAGTACTACAGATTCCCATGACTCCGCCCCTATTTATGGAGCGAAGTCATATATATATAAGCAACTGCACCTGGTTGATGAGCGCGCGAGCACCTCTGCGTTTTAAAAGTGGAAGAAAATGGGAAGTTCAAAGTTGATGGTGCACTGTATGGTGCAATATTAGTATATTTGATGATGTTAATGAGGATATTATTGCACTAAGTACTAGTTTGAAAGTATTTACGCGCGCGCGCGCGCGTGTATATATGTGTGCATATATGCATATATATTATATATATACATACAGAAATGTATATATACATACATACCTATATATACAGTATACACACACACACATATTCAAACATATGTATACACACACATGCATATATATATATATATATATATATATATATATATATATATATATATATATATAATAATATATATATATATTATGTATATATAAGTATATATATATATATATATATATATATATATATATATATATATACACACACACACACACACAAATATATATGCATTTTTGTATATATATGTATATATATATATATGCAGAAATGTATTAAAAATATACACTACTACCATATATAATAATATAGAGTTTAAGGTTTATATGCTTTCGTATTAATTAATAGGGCTACGGCAAAGAAGAGCGAGGTTCAGATTTATCTTTCGCATGTGTATATTTATATTTTTATGCGATATGTCATGTAAGGCTACTGTTTTTTTCTTATATCATTTATGCTTTAATCTTGGGCAATATTCAGGTCTCCAAAAGTGTTGCGTGACGAATAATATACGGGGAAGTATCTCATGTTTTATTTACATAATGTGTTCGAATGGTTAAAAGAATATTATGAAAATCTATATTAGGTTTTACATAATCATTTTGCTTATTATGTATATATAATTGAATATGCACAGGTAAACTTATATATCCTTTTGAATGTTGTTGATATCAATCAATAAATAGTCATTTTCAAAATATTTAAAGAAGTGTGACCTTCGAAACCATTGTCGATGGACGAATGAAGAAGTATGATGGGAGGCGCTTAGGGCCCACGCATTTTCAACTGATTTCGATAGTTTTCCGTCGTTTGATTTGTAATTTGAAGATGTTGATAACTAACAACTTGTATTTATTGTTATTTTCCTAATGTTACATCAGTAAACCTGTGACTTGTTAATTGATACAATTCAAAAACAAAATCAGATTCGTCAACTCGAGTACAATTCCTAGGAATGGGGGTGGAGCCGTACCTGTGGCAAACAGCGTAGAAGCATCGGCAAGGTTGCTGTCGCGATCGGCCTGGAGAATGTCGCAAATGAAAAAAAAAACGACACTTTCTAGTGTAGTTAGACAGTTTCTTGGCACCGGAAAAAAGGCCTATACTTACCACAGGAACGGCGTTATACGACAACAGTTTTCCCAAATAAATAAACCTATAAATATTTCTACAATCACAAACACAGCAGTTTATTACACTGTCACTGATCTGATTCAACTCATTTCCAAACTTCCTTTAGACCTGTAAGTCGTACTTCCCTCCTTTTCCAGCTCACAAGACAATTGATAAGCTGTAGATAGAGTATTATGCACTAGTTCAGTACTCGATGTTCCAGACGGATAGGGACGCATGCCTATTCTATCACTATTGAGAAATCAGGTATTACAAATCTCTCTCTTTCTGCCTAATTGGAAGGCAACGTTGAGTAATATGCTACTCCAAGATAAGATGAGGTATGACTGGGGTGACATTGGGGCAGCAGAATTTTCACTTGTTTCTAGAGGAAGTGGAGGGAGCATTTCTGGTGCTTGAGATAACAAACACAGTGTAGTTATTGGGCCTGATTTACCCATTAGTTTAAACTTGTGTGAGAATATGATATTTTGAGGACAAATAGTAGTAACGAATTGTTCATAAGCATATGGATCAAACGTTCTAACCGCCTTAACTAAATTAAAAGCCTTCTGACCAAGTGGGAGAATCAGCTTCTGCATCTATAAGGTTTCTGGGCTGGCAAGTGTGGGTTTGCCATCCTCATATCTCGGTATCAAGATATAAAACCAAGGGTGAGGCCACACTTAGGTGAAGGCCCGGGCGAAGCTAGACTACGCACATCTCACTGAACTGACCTGCATCAACATCTGTCTCAAAGAAGTGCGTGAAGTCTGGGAGCTTTAAGACAGGTGCAGAAACAAGAGCTTCCTTAAGGCTCTGGAAAACTCGGGAATAATTAAAAAGTATCTTTTCCTATCAGATTGGAAAATGGTGTCGCTATCCTACAACCCTGTGTCTCTCCCTAAAGATTTCTCTTACACTCCTGGGTCTCCTCATCTCCTTGATGGCACCCATATATTATCATTCCACTTCCAGAGACCAAAGTCCCCGATTTTTTCTCTACCTGAGCAAAAGTGTATTTACTTAGGTCAAGTTCAGATCAGCATCAAGCAAGAACAGGAGGGTCTCGCACAACGAATCCATATGACTCTCGAAAGTAAAGACCACCCGATCATTCAGACTGGCCAAGGTGTGTCGGCCCAACACAGCAGACAGGGACCAGGGGAGCCTGAAGATGCACCTCTCTCTGGATACTGCGGAAGAGCAGGAACTTCAGGAATGGTGGACACACTTCTGTGTAAAATTAGAGTGGAATGCTGATTGATCGGATGGCTAGGTAACATTTGTATGGAATATATATATATATATATATATATATATATATATATATAATATATATGTGTGTGTGTGTGTGTGTGTGTGTGTGTGTGTGTGTGTGTGTGTGTGTGTGTGTGTTGTGTATTTTCCACTTTTTGTTCTTTTGAACTTTATAGAAAGTCTGCATCAGTCACTGAAGAAACAGTGATTGTGATACGAATAAATAATTCGATAATATTCTTGTGCATAAGATCACTCAGTGTCCGACTATCATGTATTTAGAAGTCAGAATCAGTAGGCAAGAACATCATTTTCGTATTAGTCCACGTCTTTCGACACTGACTCCAGTGCGCTGCGGTAGAACTAGGTTAAGTATATAACAACGCAACTGGAGCGCCAGGGCATATATCCCGCTGCCCATCTGTTTCTTGTACCCAGAAATTAACATATGTCCAAGAAAATGACCTTGTAGAGCTTTCGAGCTTGTACAGTGATGGCGTTTTGGCCTCACATCCGAGGGGTAGGTGGTTCGCGCCCCGTCAAGGCGCACCAAGTTGCAATCGTCGCTTGGTTCAAGGTCTATATAAGTACTTATATAAACCTTGGCTTGGTTACTGCTGTGGCTGGGCACCACGATAAGGCCTGAGCTCTGTCGCGCCTGCTGTCACACGTTGATCGAGTCGGCATTAGTCGACACAGGCCGGGCTCCCCTCATAAGCATATCCCGAGCGAGGCTGAGATTCGCTTGTCGACTTCCCATTCCGCTTAGAAACGGATGAAGGGAGAAAGATCGTTAGTAGATATGTAAAGAGGACGGTCATAAGGCTAAAGGGCAAAGGCGTCGTTGGCGTACCTCAACCTCAACCTGAAGGACGACGGGGGATGGAAGGGAGTTGACTGGAAGTATTCCGTAAATAAACTAAGACCAGAGGAAGAGGAACTGGGAACAGAAGTGCCCTTCGAACAAGAAATGCTCCACGTCCAGATTAATCAACTGGAGGAAGACGTCGATGGGCAGAGAAGGACAAGTTCCTAACCGAAAAAAAAAAATCATCATCTCTCTCCGTCAACATTCAAACATCATAGACGCAGACAAGGGGAGTGAGACTGCACCAACCAGCATGCAAGAGGGATTATCACACAGCCTCGGGAGATGATGGTCCCGTCTGGCTTATGGGTCTCGGGCAATCCACTCTAATGATGACCTAAAACCTTGGTAGAGGTACGCGTCAGGGCAACTAGATGCCATCTACTTCGGGCGACGGTGAAAGGTAGTCGCACTGCGTTCGCTGGTCATGGAAATATAGTAGAAGCGTCGCCCAGGTAAGAAGCACTGAAGACCATCCTGTCGGGAAGCTAAATGGTGACATCCTCCGCCCCAGATCATACAAAGTCTGTAACGCCAGAAGATGGAAGAATGGACTCGAGAATCGAGTTAACACATTACGACATCGACGAGGGTGAAGCAGGACCAACGACTTAGAAATCAGGATGCAAAGCTTTCGGGAGAAGCAGGCATGGATGGTGAAGTGGCGTTGACCATGAAATGACAGGCATGTCTGGGGAGCCGCTCCTTCAGAAAGTCTGACTGTAGACGTGAAAATTACTATCTCTTGTTATCTCCTCCCTCTCAACTGCACACTTTCACCTCGCCAAGATGCCATTCACTGTGTCTCTTGCGATAAACAGTACGTTTGTTTCATTAACCGTGTTTCTTAACATATGTTATGTTTGAGGGGCATGTCAATAACACCCTCTTCCTGCC